TGTCAATATTACCAATTTGGCTGGCGTCAGCCCGTCAGACTGTTGTTTGCTCATATTGATTCCCATGGCTACTAGCAGTCACTCAACCGTCAGGTCCGTGCTTATTCACCAGTCTTTGTAATCCCCAGTTAATTTTTATCTTTACTGGTTCTGCTCTCTTCAATACAGATCGTGTTTATTTTCTTTTAGTTTCTTTCTAGTTAATTTACTTCCTAAATTTAGATCTTTTCAATTTTGAGATAAAATCTTTAATAAAACAAATTTGTAATGTTATTTTGCACTTTCACTAATTCTATACTTTATATATTTTACTTTATGTAGACTATAGTTTGTAATAATATATACTTATAATATCTTTATCTTATAAAGCTTACAATTTCTTCCAATCTTATTTAGGAATTTTGTTAATTTATTTCATTCTCATAACTCTTGTGTTTTTTTCAGTTATCAATTTTGTTTTCCAATCCTTATTAATTTTCAGGTTATTCTTTTTAACTATATTCTGTACTAATTACTTCTATTAATTTATTATTATATCTTTAAGCTTTATCTATATTATAATCTTTATTTATTAATATCACCCACCCCTTTACTTCCCCTCAGTTACTCAACTCTTTCACTCTACACACTAACACAGACACACAAGACAAATGATTATATATATATTTACAGTGCACTTCTTCCTTCCTCACTGTTTCCAACAGTGGCATCTACGTTTTTCCCTGCTGCCCCGGCTGCACCCAGATAACTGGAAATGCATAGACGTCCTCCGGATGGTCGAGCGGTACTATTCTCCGATTATCGCTTAACCGGTAATATTCTGGCTATCCCTTAGCCTGGCTATCGCTTAGCCTCTAAATACCTTTTCCTCACTGTTTCCTACAGTGGCACATATTCCAATACCTTAATACTACTTAAGCCGTCTCGTGGAGCACCCTGACTACCTTAGTCACTGATACCCTCACGTAACACGCGTACACTATTGGTTCCGGATTTATGGCTTCCACAGACTATGTATCAATCTGTCCCTTTACCAATCATCCGCTCAGAACAACCCGTGTTAAGCTTAACTTATTTACAAAATAATTTAAACACAGAACAGTTTAACACAAACATTAATAACACTTAAAACATACATTCATACATACATTCATACATACCTGGACCCTTCCTCAGCTTAATCTGCCTTTATATACTCTTATATAAATTCTTATCAAATTTGGAAATTACTTTATTAAATTTGGAAAACTAGGTTCTTTTTAGGAGAGCTTTGTGACGCCTGACACTCACAAGCAGTAGCCGGAGGCCGGTTCCCCACTAATTTAGAAAATTAAAACGAATTTACTCACCTTTAATGGTGAATTATGGGCCCTTGGGGTTCCACGCTCTCCAGCTGGTGCCTGCAGATCGTCCGATGTCCCCTTTTTGCTTTCCTCCTGCAGCTGGCTCGCCAATTATGTCGTCTATAATTCTCTTCTTGACGACTTAAAATTGAAGCTAAGTTTTATAAAAATTCAAAGTTCTTAAAAAGCAGAAAAAGTCTCAAACAAAGATCAAAAAATTTAGGCAGAGGCAGCTGAGTCCGGGTCCAGTGTGTTTATTGCTAAACACAACACATTCACACTGAGCTGGTCACCGGTGAGCCGAAGCTGAACAAATGGTGAAGACAGCTCCCTTTTATATATTTCTGATCGGTGGAAAACCCCCTTCAGAACATATTTCAGTCTTTGGTAAAGGTCACATTGATATTTATCTGCAAAACACGGTGACATTCATAGACACATCTCATTCTTGTGAGAGCAATCTCTCAGGCCATGAAAACATCTGGTGCATTCAAATCAGAAACTTATGACGGTTTAGTCACAAACATGTCAGAACACATCTTTCCCTTGCTCCAAGCCATGTCAGTCTGGCCTACTGCTCCCCCCTCGTGTCTTAGTCAAAGCATCACCCTTTCTGGGACCATTACCGCTCCGTGTGCCTTGAAAATAACAACTCTATTTATCACAAGTTGTATAACCAAATTTTGCTAAGCTGGGCAACCTTGAGATGTCAAATATTTCATTTTTAATGAGTGGGCTTTCTTATCACTATGGGGCCTCAACCTTGCGTTTTCCTGCAGATTTCACTCCCCCTGGGCCAGGTGCACACTCACTGCTCTGTTTTTTTCTTTTTGGCCTTGAATGGCTCCATTCATTGCTCTGTTTTTCTCCTTTTTGGCCTTGAATGGCTCTTATAACAGTATTTGGGAAAACAACTTTAAACTTATAAAATATTAACTTTATTTTATCTTATGATTAGTGCAGATTAATACACAACACTCCCAAGTGGGAGCCCTAGCGTATAAACACTGTGGAAGCATATTCTTCCTTGGCCTATTTGTGGTAAATGGCCTATTTGTGAGATAAAATATTTTGAGTGTGCCTTTCCTCTGCCCAAATAGGGGTGATTGTTTAGAAGTCATGTACCAGTCTGTATGCTGGAGCTAATATTGGGGATGACAGAAAGCAGTTGCCTCCCTACTCTTGACAAGGGTAAAGGAAAGGTCATATGAGAAAAGAATAAGTTCACACAGCCTTTTTCCTTCCCTCAGCCATGACCATCAGTCAAGCAGGTGGAAAATAGGAGAGCAAACGCCTGAGTTCCATGACATTATAAGAGCCTGTGGCCATAAAGCAATACCTTCTTCCAGGTCACATGACCTGGCCAAAGACGGTGCGTCATCTGCCAACTTACTTAGTCGATATTTCAAGAGGGGAGCCCCGATGTATTATTGATAGTGTCAAGATGTTGGCCTGAGGAATCTGTTATAATAACTCATATGCAGCAGCTCTTTAGGTCACAAAGTCTGCGGTGAGCCTTTGACTAGTGGACATCCATTCAAAATAATCTGAGTCCCATTTTTTGCTTATGTGTAGCCCAAGCAGTCCCTGACCATCTTCATCAAATACAAAAGGATGATCATTTGCACTGACCCAATGTTTCAGGTTTGGTGCGACTTAAGGAACTAGGTTCACAGACTTAATCCTATTCAAAATATTGATCCAAAAGGGAAATTAAAAGTTGTACCTACTTACCATATTATTCTAAACTTTATAAACACTTTGTAACGGTCATGTGTCCTGAAGCCTGTGTATAAGGTTCATAAATGACAAAAAAAAAAAAATCACATCTATAATTGCAAAATGGTCTTTTTGAAAAGCATGCCCTTTATATCATAAGGGGAAATAAGCTGTTCGGAGCGGCCTGTAGCAGCACATGGGTCAAGGTACAGACTTGTATTAATCCATGGTCCTAGCCACTATCGTTGAGAACTCAGATTGGTTGTCATGGTTACAGGTTGTGAGGGCGCAGCCTTCAGAAGAGCGGGCATTGAAAGCCAAAACTGCTCATCCACAGAAGGGATGAATAACGAGGGTCTTAGTTCATGCTGTTTGCCTAGGCTGAGGGAATTTTTTTTTTTTCTGGAGGGCTCATTCTTAATGTTTTTTTCTTTGTAGCGTACTGTGATATTTGACCTTTAATGGCTGTAGGCAGGAAGGTTGTCTTGTAGCCGAAAACGGATCCCTGTGCACTTCAAACCCAGCAACACCCAGAGACAAAAACTGATTCACCCTAAAGACAAGACACCCAGTAACAAGACCGACAGCGTGGTTTATGCCGCTCAGTGAAGTGAAGAGAGCACAGACCTGTAGATTGGAGAGAATCAGCAACCGCTGCACAGGTAACATTAGGGCCAACTCCACAGGACAGGACTCAGCTGTTCACCTACAGATGAGGGCTAAAAGACACTCATTTGAGGACAACATCCAGATTCTGGCCAAGGAAGACTGATGGTTTGAGAGAGGGGTTACGGAAGCCCTCTTTGTTAACCTGGAAAACACATCAACTACTTACAAAGCATTTTTAGGAACAATAACCAGAAGATTCACCTCCCACCTGCCCATACCTGACTCACACTTCAATAAGGGATGTGACCAAAACCACTCTTACAAGGGAGTTAATGACCACCAGGTTCCCCTAACGACCATTTAGATACAAAAGCAACTGTAAAAGGCGGCTCTGCCCAGGAAACACACAGCCAGGCAGACGAGTTCCGAGCCAGCTCCCATGTTAGAGGATGAAGAGAGCACATCCAGTTAGTCACAGTCAGAGAAACAGGTCTACACTGGAAAACAGGCCAAGCTCCAACATCTAGAAACAAAGGTGTTGATGGCAGCAGCACAGCTGATATTTCTCTCCAGGATGGAGTCACTGCCAAACAGGAACAGACCAGATGAAGCTATTATGAGAAAAAGCAGAGAGAGCAGAACGTTAGAGATTGAACTAACAGATTCTGCAGAGTGGGAGAATAGAGAGAGAATGAAGCAGAATGATGAAAAAGGGGTCCCTATGTCCTCCAGCAGTCTAAGCCTATAGCAGCAGAACTATAGAGATAGCTCAGGATAACCTGAGCCACTCTAACTAGAAGCTTTATCCAAAAGGAAAGTTTTAAGCCTAGCCTTAAAAGTAGACAGGGTGTTTTGAATTATCCCACTGTCTGTCTGCCTGGAACACTGGGTCCCCTGTCTGTACCTTGACAAAACCAAATGGAAAAACCACAAATTAACATTTTCTTTTTTCCCCCAAACAAATGTTTTTCTTTTTTATGTAAAAAAAGTTAGAATTATCCTGTTACTGAAACGTGTTGAACAAACACATTTCCTTGGCGTACTCTAAGAGTGCATAAAACAAAATTTAGTGTCCTTGCTTGTGTATAAAAACTTGGCCATTCAAGCTGTTGTTGAAGTAGAGCCAAAAATTGTTGCCACCAAGCCAAATTCAACCAAACCTTACTTTTTGTGCTATGCCAATGTGTAATTTATATCTGTTAAAATTTTTTTGTTTTTTTTTATTCTGGGCATTTTTCTAGAGAGTCTAAATTCTAATGACTCATTTGCATATTAAGTTTAGTGTCACAATATCCAAATAGTTTTAATGCTGTGTTTTGTTGTAATCAGCAGTAGAGGACAGAAAACTTTTTATTGGAATGATCTCCAAGAAGTGCAATGAAAACGACATTCGATTGATGTTCTCACCATACGGACAGATAGAGGAATGTCGGATACTTCGAGGCCCCAATGGACTCAGTCGTGGTAAGAAATATTTTATGCTTTTTCTTTTCTTCTAAAATGAATTTTAGCATGAAATGTTATTACTTTGTTATATAGTAACCTGCCACTCACAAGTGCAATAGAATAATTAGAAATTATTTGATAAAAATAAAGATATTAAAAAGCAAAAAAATGTACTGAACAGAAAATAAAAAAACAATCACATATTCAAGCTTCATATTCAGTTAAATAAAAACATCTGAATGCATTTAGAGATGAGGTACACTCATTATTTGATTATTGACCAGCTGAAGACTTCCCTCTGGATCTAAATTATTTCTTTGCTTATCATAGCTTCTTATTCTCTTTGCATTTTTGTAGCTCAATTATTTAATTGTTTCAATACTTTAATGACAGATTACAGGGAAACAGGTGCTGTGGAAATGGATCTAATGGAACAACTTTATTCCAGAAAAATGGATGTGCAGGTGTCTGCAGCGGTTCTTGGCTCTGTATTTGGATCTCTGATTTTGATCATGTTTTCAATCCTTTGAGGTTTGAGCTAATGTTGAAGGCCAGAGCTTTTAGAACAAGAGAACAACAGAAAAGCTTTCAGACTCCCTAAATTGGACTTTATTCCACCCAAACTGCAGTGGTTATCGGCAATCTGAATATCCACTTTCTGTGACATATAAGAGGGAGAAAGAACAGAAACAGAAACAGGGTAAGTAGGATGGGCGGAGCTCCAGGTTGAAGGCTAGCCAGTAGACAACAACTCCCCCCACTCTCCTGGCAAAAGTTAGATAACTAACTAGACAACATTCAACTGTTGATCGCCTCATCGCAGTTGGACAGATGTGTGATGGTCTTCACACAGCCTGAGTTGGACATCAACATCGCGCGGACTGGACTGTAGCGACTGGGAAGATCAAATTCAGAGGTTTGCCAATGACTTTCATTTTGTACAGCTTTCAGACAGTAAATGAGCAGCGGCTTTGCAGAGAAATGAACATTTCCTTTACATAAATAGTAGCAGTGATTACATGTAAACAGTGTGGGAGAAAAACGTGATGCAAAACGCATTTTTGAGTTGAGTTATCAGTGTGATTCAGAGTCTCAAATTGTGACTTGATTTAGAGTTTTCTTTCTTTCTGCCTGGACGAAGCTGAAGTGAGGAAAACTCTGAGGAGAGTCAATCCAAGGAAGGCCCCAGGGCCTGATAACATACCTGGGCAGGTGTATAAGGAGTGTGCAGATCAGCTGGCTGGTGTCCTCACAGACATCTTTAACACCTGGCTGGACCAATCCATAGTGCCAGCATGCTTCCAGTCTGCCTCCATTATTCCAGTCCCAAAGAAGCCTCAGGTCACCTCACTCAATGATTAGCGGCCTGTCGCTCTGACTCCCATCATGATGAAGTGCTTCCAAAGGCTGGTTAAAGAACACATCGTCTCCAGTCTGCCGCCAACATTCCACCCGTTCCAGTTCGCCTACCGACGGAACCGCTCGACTGAGGACGCCATCTCTGCTGCTCTCCACCTGAGCCTGGCACACCTGGAGGAGAAGAACACCCACGTGCGGATGCTGTTCCTGGACTTCAGTTCAGCTTTCAGCACCATCATCCCACAGCATGTGATGGGCAAACTGGAACAGCTGGGCTTCAATACACCCCTCTGCTATTGGCTGCTAGACTTCCTCACCAACAGACCTCAGTCAGTCCGGGTCGGACAGAACGCCTCTGATGTCATCTGTCTAAGCCCCTCCCCTCAGGGCTGCGTCCTGAGCCCCCTGCCGTTCACCCTGATGACACACGACTGTGTCCCCAGGTTCACCACCAATCACATGGTGAAGTTTGCAGACGACACCACAGTGGTGGGCCTCATCAGAGACGACAACGACCTGGACTACAGAGAGGAGGTGGAGCAGCTGGTGGAGCAGAGATAACAGCCTGATCCTGAAGGTGGAGAAGACCAAGGAGATCATGGTGGACTTCAGGAAGAACCGCCCTAACCACGTTCCACTGCTCATCAACAGCTCAGCTGTAGAGGTGGTCAGCAGCACCACATTCATCACAGACACCCTCACCTGGACTAGAAACACCACCTCACTGGTCCAAAGGGCCCAGAAGCGCTTGGACTTCCTGCCCCCCACCCATCCTCCCCACCTTCTCCAGAAGCACCATAGAGGGCGTTCTGACCAGCTGTCTCACTGTGTGGTGTGGAGGCTGCAGCACCTCAGACTGGAAGAAGGTGAGAACAGCAGAGAGGATCTTGGGGGCTCCTCTTCCCTCCAGTAAAGACATTTCATCCCAGCGCTGCGTGTCCTTAGCCCGTGACATCATCAATGACCCCTCACCCCCCCACCATGGACTGCTCTCCCTGCTGCCCTCTGGGAAGAGGCTTCACAGCATTCAATGCAGGACCAGCAGGTTCTGCAGCAGCTTCTTCCCCACCGCCATCACACTGATGTACTGTTGGATAAACTCTAAATTATGTCACAGACTCTGCATCACACTGATAACACCAAACCAACATACTGCATATTTGCACCATAAATTTTAATGCTCTAAACTTCCATATCAATGCATTCTTTTGCACCATGATTTTTTCTCCTATACTGTTTACATCTAATCACTGTTGCACTTTAAGAAATGGAAATGTTCTGAAAGCTGTGCAAAACAACATTTGGTTTTGTATAAACTGTACATGTTAAAAATGACATTAAAAGTTGTCAAAGTCTAAGCTTGTCCCTGGAAAAAAAAGTGGAAAAACCTCCAGTGAACTGACACAATATGATAGTCAGAAGCAGGTAACCCCTTTGGTTGTCAGCATGCAACAGTGTAATTTATCTCTGGGATTATTAAAGTATGTTTGATTGTGATTCTGATTCTGAACAGGGTATATCCTTCAGGTAGGTATTCAAACCCTCAAACTCCAACTTTGGGGCCTCCTGCATTGCAGTGAGGGCTGTGCCATCAGGCGTTGGGCTAAAACAACCCAGAGTATCTGACCAGCCGTCACAGGGTTTCCTAATATACTCCTCCAAAGGATGGAACATCTGAGAACCATCCATCCCCCTAAGTGGACAGTCCTTCCTACGAACGCCGGGACGTTTTCTCAACTGCCAGCATCATGTCTTTGGCAAAACGATTATGGCCCACTGCCCGGCCAGGGGGCAGGTAATTCTGCTGATTAGAGTCTGTTCATTAATCAGCTTGTTCCATTGAGAACAGCCAGGTCAGCTGCACTGCCCAGGAACAACGCTGCAACTACGCAGGCAAAGGGGGCACAGGTCATGCTGCAGAGGGGCCAAGCAGAACCAATAGGGGAACGTCAATTAAACTCAGCATGGGCAGAAAAAAACGCCATCAGCAAGTTTACAAAAAAAGCAACTAGCATGTGTGGGTTCTCTCCTGGTACTCTGGCTTCCCACAGTCAAAAACATGAATGTTAGGTGAATCGGCTTCTCCAAGTCGTCCTTAGGTCAGAGTGCGCGTATGCATGGTTGTCCCCCCCTCTCGCCCATAGACTGCTGGAGGTAGGCACCGACCCTGACGGATTAAGCGGGAGAGGATGATTGGGTGGATGGATGCTCTGACACAAAGAGGGAGGAGAATACATGGGAGAGAATATGTTTGCCATCAGTTCACTGTACATGTCAATAGAGCTACACATTTATTTCTTTTAAATCTGAATTTTGAGTGAATATTCATATTGAAATAATAAATTATTAGAATTTCTATATTTTAAAATATGATTAAAGACATTAAGCATGCTAAAACATTATGACACATTACAATTCTGTCTTTCAGGATGTGCATTTGTAACATTTACAAGTCGACAGATGGCACAGTCTGCTATCAAGTCAATGCATCAGTCACAAACACTGGAGGTGATGTGAGCTTAGGACAAACTTTGGTCTTCCATTATTTTAAAGTTAACTACATAATTCAAATGTTTCTACTGTGATTGTTTTAAAAAAAAGTTGATTCATGATAAAGAAAGACAAGCATTTCCAGTTAGTTCCCATTTTAAAATAGAATTGGATGGATTTCAGTATATCTTTAACAGTCTTTGTTTTTTGTATTAAGGGCTGTTCATCACCCATTGTGGTGAAATTTGCGGATACTCAGAAAGACAAGGAGCAGAAACGCCTGGCTCAACAGCTGCAGCAGCAGATGCAGCAACTTAGTGCTGCTTCCATGTTGGGAAATCTATCTGGTTTCCACAATCTTGGGCCACAGCTCCTTGCAGTGAGTGGCGCTCTTTTATGACCTTTTTTTTTATGTGATTGTTCAAAAGGGAGCAAAATTAGTTTGGTGAAAACCAGAAAATTAATTTTGATTTTGATGTCGTCTCAGTTGTACTTGCAGATGTTGCAGCAGTCCACCCTGACAGGGGCTACACTCAGCAATCTACACCAAGTTTCAGGTAAGTTTCAGCTACATACATACACCCCAACACACGTACATATCTATATACATCTCTATAAATATATCTTTATGTCTTTGTTTATTGCCCATAAGCGTCTGCTGTTAATGCAGCACGTTAACGTTTTGGTCTTGAATTTGACTGTGCATATATTTGCCAGGTCTGAATACCATGCAGAATCTGGCAGCTTTAGCTGCTGCAGCAACAGCCACTCAGGGTACATCGTCTTCTTCCAGCTCCATGGCAACATCTGGTAGTCCATTAAGTGCACTAACCAGCACAGGTAACATAATTTGAGGCTTCAGAGACTTTTCTCTACAGGTGATAAAGGGGGGTTAAGCTTAATAGAACTGAGGGGGGTATTAAGCAGCCTTAATTTTTTAATACACAGATGCAAACAAAAACTACAGTTAGCTCACTAATCTTAAAACCTGCTACAGTCACCAATACAATGAATATGTGTTGTTCTGCTTTTTAAATAAAACATATAAGAACGTAACGATCATACTTTTGAAATTAATTCACTAAATTACAAATTTTAGTAGATCTTTATCAGATAGTGCAGTTATAAATTTTAAAGAGTCTGCTTCACTTTCTCTCTCCTCTGTGTCACTGAGCAGTGCTGCAGAGTGCAAAAGCTTAGCTTATTCCCCTTCACAGGTTGATGATTTTGTTGATGGGGTTGCTAGTTCTCTGCGTATTGCCTTAGACAACGCAGCTCCTTTGAAAATGAAAACCATTAAAAATAGAAAGCTTGCTCCTTGGTTTAATGCAGAGCTGCATACTTTGAAGCAAAATGCTAGGAAACTGGAGAGAAAATATCGCTCCACAGGCCTGCGAGAGTCCTTCCTAGTCTGGAAAAATGGTTTACTGCTGTATAAGAGGACCCTTTGTAAAGCAAGAGCAGCATACTTCTCCTCATTAATAGAGGAGAATAAGAATAATCCTAGATTTATTTTTAATACAGTTGCCAAACTCACCCAGAGCCATAGCTCTGTTGAACCGTCCATTCCACCTGCTCTTAGCAGCAATGATTTTATGGGATTCTTTATAAATAAGATTGATCTTATTAAAAATAAGATCATAAGCACTCCTCTATCCGCGATTGTACCTGAGGTAGTCATGGAATCTGAACCGGGTTTAGACTGCTTTGATCCAGTTGAACTCTCTGAATTAGCAAAATTATTGTCTTCATCTAAGCCTTCAACTTGTACGTTAGATCCAGTTCCAACCAGGTTATTTAAGGAGGTATTCCCTTTGATCTCCTCCTCCATTTTAGATGTGATTAATCTATCTCTGTTACAGGGATATGTACCTAAAGCTTTTAAGGTTGCTGTAATTAAACCTCTGCTTAAGAAACCGTCTCTTGACCCAGATGACTTGGTCAATTATAGACCTATATCCAATCTTCCTTTCTTATCCAAAATTCTTGAGAAAGTAGTTGCCAAACAAGTTTGCGATCACTTCCACCATAATGAACTTTTTGAAGAGTTTCAGTCTGGCTTTAGAGCTCATCATAGCACTGAAACAGCTCTGGTGAAAGTCACTAATGATATTCTCATGGCCTCAGATAATGGACTTGTATCTGTGCTCGTCCTGTTGGATCTTAGTGCTGCATTTGATACAGTTGACCATAATATTCTTTTAGAAAGACTTGAATATTTTGTTGGAATTAAAGGAACAGCACTAGACTGGTTTAAATCTTATCTATCTGATCGAATTCAGTTTGTTCATGTTAATGATAGATCTTCAACACGCTCAAAGGTTACCTGTGGAGTACCACAGGGATCAGTGCTAGGACCAATTCTCTTTACTTTATACATGCTCCCAATTGGTAGAATTATTAGACAGCATGGGATTAATTTCCACTGTTATGCTGATGATACCCAGCTATATCTGTCTATAAATCTAGATGAAGCTAACCCATTACATAGATTACAGGCATGTCTTGAAGACATAAAAACCTGGATGACTCTTAACTTTCTGGTTCTGAATGCAGACAAAACAGAAGTTATAGTCTTTGGACCAGAGTCTCTAAAAAAGAAACTGATTAGCCAGTCACTTCATTTGGATGGGATTAAACTGATTTCAGATAATAAAGTAAAAAATCTTGGTGTTATTTTTGATCAGGACCTGTCATTTAAATCCCATATCAAAGAGGTTTCTAGAATTTCCTTCTTTCATCTGAGGAACATTGCAAAAATTAGAAATATCCTGTCCAGGGGTGATGCTGAGAAACTAGTCCATGCATTTGTTACTTCAAGGCTGGACTATTGTAATTCTTTACTATCAGGAAGTCCACAAACTGTAGTTAAAAGCCTTCAGCTGATCCAAAATGCTGCAGCCAGAGTTCTAATGAAAATTAAAAAGAGAGATCATATCTCGCCTATCCTGGCTTCTCTTCATTGGCTTCCTGTTAAATCAAGAATAGAATTTAAAATCCTCCTTCTCACATATAAAGCCTTAAATGGCCAAGCTCCATCTTATATCAGAGATCTGATTGTTCCTTATTTTCCTAACAGAGCACTTCGCTCTCAATCTGCAAGTTTACTAGTGGTTCCTAGAATTTCTAAAAGTAGAATGGGAGGCAGATCTTTTAGTTATCAGGCTCCTCTCCTGTGGAACCAACTACCAGTTTTAGTCCATGAGGCAGACACCCTGTCTACTTTTAAGGCTAGGCTTAAAACTTTCCTTTTTGATAAAGCTTATAGTTAGGGTGGCTCAGGTTATCCTGAGCTATCTCTATAGTGATGCTGCTATAGGCTTAGACTTTTGGAGGACATAGGGACCCCCATTTCATCATTCTGCTTCATTCTTTCTCTGTTCTCCTATTCTGCAGAATCTGTTAGTTCAATCTCTAACCTTCTGCTCTCTCTGCTTTTCCTCAGAGTAGCTTTGCCTCGTCTGTTCCTGTTTGGCTGTGACGTCATCCTGGAAAGAAACATCAGCTGTGCTGCTTCTATCAACACCCTTGTTTATAGATGTTGGAGATCGGCCTGTTTTCCAGTGTGGTCCTGTTTCTCTGGCCGTGGCTGGGTGGATGTGCTCTCTTCGTCCTCTGGCATGGGAGCTGCCTTGGAGCTCGTCTGCCTGGCTGTGTGTTTCCTGGACGGGGCCGACTTTTACAGCTGCTTTTTGTATCTCTGCTTCTGTCTCCTTGAACCCCAGTCGGCCTCGGCAGATGGCCGCTCACACTGAGCCTGGTTCTGCTGGAGGTTTCTTCCTGTTAAAAGGGAGTTTTTCCTCTCCACTGTCGCTACAAGCATGCTTAGTGTGGGGGATTGTATTTGAGTCAATGAGTCAATGCAATCAACTGGTTTTCCTTAGATAGAAAACTTTGAATCAATTTGACTGTATGATCTGGTTGAACTGTAAAGTGCCTTGAGATGACATGTGTTGTGAATTTGGCGCTATATAAATAAACTGAATTGAATTGAATTAAATCCAGGGAAACAAAATACAGGTTACCAGGCTAACTTGAATACTGTTCTCCCTGATTTTTACCTAAATGTAGACTTTGCAGCTTGGGGGCAAAACACTCTAGATATAGTTTAATCCAACACTAAAGATGCATTCAGAGCAGCTCCCTGCCCCCACATCTGGTGATCAGCTCATCTGTCTGTCATGCTAATTCCTGCATATAAGCCCCAGCTGATCAGGGCTAAACCAACAGTTAGATAGGTCAGAGTGTGGTCTGAGGGCGCCATGGAGAAACTCCAAGACTGTTTTGAATGCTCTGACTGGAACATCTTCAAAGCTGCAGCAACATATGACAACTTGTTGTTATATGTTGCTGCAGCTTCTGTGCCCTTCTGACCAGTGAGGTGGTGTTTCCGGTCCAGGTGAGGGTGTCTGTGATGAATTTGGTGCTGCTGACCACCTCTCCAGCTGAGCTGTTGACGAGCAGTGGAGCGTGGTTAGGCCGGTTCTTCCTGAAGTCCACCATGATCTCCTTGGTCTTCTCCACATTCAGGATCAGGCTGTTATCTCTACACCACCAGCTGCTCCACCTCCTCTCTGTAGTCCAGGTTGTTGTCGTCTCTGATGAGGCCCACCACCGTGGTGTCGTCTGCAAACTTCACCATGTGATTGGTGGTGAACTTAATGGGGTTTTGCATTAAAGGAGCTGCTCAGCTCCTCTACAGTCGCTGCAGAGGGTGGAAGGTGGTGTCCATGATGGATGGAAGCTTGGACAGAACCCTCCTCTCAGCCACTTATTCCACTGAGTTCAGAGTGCAGCCTAGGACAGAAATGGCCTTTTGTCAGGAGGGCTGATACCACCACGGAGTCAGAGAAGGTTTGAAGCAGGGGCCTGCTCACTGCAAAGGACCTCAGCCTCCTCAGGAGGTGGAGGGAGGCGGTTCTGGCCCTTCTTCTACAGGGCGTCGCTGTAATGAGTCCAGTCCAGTTTATTATTGACATGAACACCCAGGGATTTGAAACTCTCCACAGTTTATATGTCCTGTCCCTGGATGTTCACGGTTCCTGAGCAGCCTTTAAGGAATCCCGTCCGGTCCGAGGCTTCCCTCTGTTTCAGTCTCTTCAGCTGGCCTCTCACCTGCATCGAAGTAACTGTGAGGGGGGAGAGAGGCATGACAGAGGGGGTGAGATGGTCTTGAAATATGCTCCAGTCTGTGGTTCTGAAACAGTCTCTCAGTTTTTCAGTATCCTCATCTGACCAAACTTTCACGGACGTCTTCTGCAGTATTGTTCTTCTCACCACTGGTATGTAGTTGGGGAGCGGGTTGACAAGGTAATGATCCATGCATCCTGTGGGGATGGGGGGGTATAGTCGTTGCATTAAAGACACCTCTGCCTCCCTCCCTGCACTTAATAAGCTGAATTTGATTGAATTAATCATTGGTGAAACCTATTGAAGTAACATGGCCTGACTACCCACACCAACTAGGACCCCAAAATTACAGTCTGTCTGAATGGACCATGCTCAACCAACACCCATTTTCACTTTTAGGAAACACTTAAAATCACATCAAGCACAGACAAAATAAAATGGTAAATCACTTCGAGAATTTGCTTAAAAACATAATAAAGAAAAACTAAAATGAAGGAAAACTTAAATGGCAGCTCTTTTATCCATAACGGCTCTTATTTAACCCTGTGAGCACAGTCAGCTATCCTTTGAGGAGCTTTGTTAAGGTAGCAGTTAACATCTTGAGCAGGTTATGTTTATAACAGGTGTATTTAAGTCTTTATTCTTATTACATGTTTCAGTTTGAATTCTGTTTTATTAAAAACCTTGTTGATTAATAAAATACTGTCATTGATGATACTTTTACCCTCTGATTGATGATTAAATGACATTTAATGAGAATCACAAGTTTAGGATAAAAGAGTTACCGTCTCTTTGTTTTTATGAACTGATACAGGCATGGCAACAATAAATGGCGGTCTTTCCTCTGGTGGTTTGTTGCATGGCTCAGGTACTACAATGGAAGCACTGAGCCAAGCATACTCTGGCATTCAACAGTATGCAACTGCTGCACTGCCCAACCTGTATAACCAGAGCCTTCTATCCCAGCAAAATCTGTCTGCAGCAGCAGGAAGCCAAAAGGAAGGTGAGTTTGGTCCACCGGCAGCAGAAAAGGGAGACAGAATAGTAACATATCCTAAAAGGACATTATTTTGTTATAGCTCATCCTATTAAAAATGCTTAATAGAATATCATTGTACTTCATAGCAAAAACAAAAATGTGTTTAGATTGGATCCAACATACAAAACTACTTTGATAGATCAATAAAATAGGAGGGGTTCTAGGGTTTGAGTTTCACGGGGGGAAATAGGTTTTAAATGGACAGGTGTGAAATTATTGGGTTTATTCATTATTTAAGAAGAAGTGACACTTAACCCTTTACTGTAAGCTACGCAAAATTGGATTAACTACTAAAGAGCATCTAGACAACTTATCTGGAACTAATGGGTAGTTACCAATACCAATACTGGGGCATTACCAGCCCAGCCTGATTACAGGACTAATGCTTAGTAACCGGGGAAACACAGAGTAACTAATCCTTAACACTAACCCTAACCATAAACATTTTCTATGAACTATGGAGAAACAATTTATAAATACACTGGAATCCGCTTATAGTGGTCATGGATATAGTAATCAACCGTTTATATAGATCAAAAGGCTTGAGACAAAACTATTTTTATACAAATGCTGTTTTAATAATTATTTTATAGTAATCAAGAAATCTGCTTATAGTGTTCATTTTTGCCCATTTTATGAATTGAAACATGCAAAAATTATTTTAAAATTATGTGTAGCCTAGTTATTTTATTTTTTTACTCCCATGATTCCTTTCTGGGCGTCTGCTTCTGTTTAGCTAGTTCGGAGGTACAAGAGTGCTTTGGTGCGGGTACCAGTGCTGCGCTCAGAAAGGAGGAGGATGAAGAAGAGGAGACTGTTGTCTCTTCCAGAGCTGAGATGATGAATGCACTTTGCATTTTAAATACTGGTCTCATGCATGTTGGTTTCAAAAACTTTGACCTTTTACATCATTTTGAAAAAGAAATGAACTCGGTGTTGAACACTCTGATCCAGGGAACCTGCGGTGCAGCAGAGCCGCAACACAAAACAGACGTAGGCTAGCTTTAATTTTCTGTAGCCTATGGAGTTAGCTTCTATGTTGTTGTTCTATGAAACCGTTTGCTTCAAACTTCAGACCTGTTAAAAAAAATGCACCGGCGGCGCCGCAGAGCCTACATACAGAATAAGTTACATAAACCTACTGTGGGCTGTCAGAGTTATGTCTGCACACTGCGCGGTACTGTGCTGTGATTAAGCATTTGTTTCAAACTTTATTTTCAGACTTGTTAAAAGAAATGCACTGGTGGCACAGTAGAGCCGACGTACAGCACATTAGTTACGTAGGCTACCAGAGCTATGTCTGCGCACAGCGCAGTATACTGTAATTAAAGTTGCATGGAGCTGTGATACAATTCAGTAAATGCGAAAGCTATCCCTTTCATTTCATTTTTCTCATTCGAAAACATACATAAAAACAAGTGAAATAACAGTAAATTTGGTTTTAGTAATCAACCACTTATAGTGTTCAAATTGGCTCTGGACCAACATGACCATTATAAGCAGATTCCACTGTTCCCAAATTAACTAGAAATGTTAAAACCTGCAGATGAATAATCTTAGATTGTATATTCTGGTACTTGCAGTTTTTACTACAAACATTAAAAAGTCTTTCTACTACAAATGTATCCAGTCGGCCTCAGCAGATGGCTGCTCACACTGAGCCTGGTTCTGCTGGAGGTTTCTTCCTGTTCAAAGGGAGTTTTTCCTCTCCACTGTCACTACAAGCATGCTTAGAGTGAGGGATTGCTGAAGAGTCAATGAGTTGATACAATCAGCTGGTTTTCCTTGGATGGAAAACTTTGAATCAATCTGACTGGATGATCTGGTGAACTGTTGAGATGACATGATGTGAACTGGAGCTATAGAAATAAACTGAATAGAATTGAAATGGGTGTGGGAAATCCCCCACAGCCTGGCCGCAGCAGAGAGTTTTCAGCCGGGATTTCCAGCGCTGCCTCCCGGCGGTATGCTGGAGGTCTGGCGCTCCGAACAAGAACAGCAGATTTTAATGGGATTATAATCGTGATGAACAGATGATACGAGGACGTTTGGAGGTCGACCTTCTCACTTAAAAACCTGTTCAAACTCACAAAGTAAATAAAGCCAAGCTGCTCTCTAGCTTGAAGCTACAGAACAGAGCAGATAAACAACCACAGCGTCAAAGTAACTTGACCACAGTTTGATCCAATTTCTGAATTTCGGGGTTTACGCATTTTTGATGCTCAGAACGTCTTTGGTGTAAACGCAGCATTATAAGCTGTAATTTGGTGCGTTTTGCTGCTTTACCACCACCAACAACAGCAGATGTGAAACAAACAGATGTCCAACTGTTGACCTTTATTGCTGTTGTTGCACTGCTGTGATGCTAGGCTTACAGCAGCTAGGCTAAGGATTTAGTTTAACCCTTGCATGTCCAGTGGCAGAGAGGCTCACCTTGAAACTAGTGTTGCACCGATACTGATACCAGTATCGGACGGGGCCCCAATACTGCCCTAAAATGGTGGTATCGGTATCGGCGAGTACCAACAAATAGGGCACCGATACCATTTTGAGAGCTAAAAGTTTATTCAACTATTGTCACCCACTCCTGGTAGGCAATACAAAGTTCTACTGGATTCACTTTGTATTAGATTTTTTCCTGCTTCCCAAAGGTAGGCAGCAGCTTGACAAAGCCATGATGGCAATTATTTTACATTATTATGGTATTGGTATCGGCCGATACTGCACAGCCAGGTATTGGGTATCGGGGCCAAAAAATGGCATCGGTGCAACACTAATTGAAACACTAGCTTTAATGGGCAGTGTCATTCAAAAACTTCCAAACCCATACTGTAGCACTCAGTCAAAATGTGGGAATAAGTAAGGACTTGGAGAGTCCTTTTAAATTAGTTGTACAGTGTAACTAATTTTCCTGTTTCTTATTTGTGAAATGCTTCATCAGTTCTGTGCCTGATTTGACAGAGAGCACAGCCGCCAAATGGGGTTTTGATATTTGGTCATTTGCTTTTAGTTCAGAATGGTAGGCAGGTTTAAAGGAAGCCATTTTTCATGGTCCCTTGGATCTTAAGTTCTTTTTTACTTTGACAGAGGCCTTTTTTTGCAGGTCCAGAAGGAGCAAACCTTTTCATTTACCACTTACCCCAGGAGTTTGGAGACCAGGATCTGTTGCAGATGTTTTTGCCCTTCGGAAATGTGATCTCAGCGAAGGTTTTCATTGAAAAACAGACCAACCTTAGCAAGTGTTTTGGTGAGTTACATATTCTACTGATGACTTGAGTAGCTGAACTTAATTATTATAGAACTTAAATGTTTTCCAGTAGCTACACATTTGTTCTCTATGTAGTCTGGCTTTCCCCCAAAGGCTAAACATTTGTTTGGCAGGTCAGTTTGAGGCTCTGCAAAATGTCTTTACGGTTTCACGATTGTCACTACCCGATCCGTACCGGAAGGACAATCCGTACCATCAGCTCATTTGCGCGTCCGCAAAACAGATATTCATCAGGTCGTCATAAATAAAATAATTATGCTACAAAAAATTCTTATTTATATCCTTAACTCACTAAAGAATGCTAATACAGATCTTTAAACATGTTTTAATTACTTTCTGAGACAATTTGATGATTTTTCCATTTTCTCCGTTAAACAGCTTCTCTGATGTCATCATGGGACATGCTCAGAGCAGTCCGGCAAAATATGATAAAACCATGTTTATTAGCATTACAGTTGTGTTTCATGTCTTGTTTAGCACTATATACCATAATGTTAACACGAAAGCAAAAAACTAAATTAAAAAAGACTAGATTTATGTTTAAAGCCAAAGCTGAAAAAGTTAGCTCCTGGAAGTAGTGTATGGTCCTATTTCTGGTACAGATCGGGAACAGACGATTGATAAAACAGAAAGATTTTAAATGCATTCACTTTCTCAGGAAATATTTTATTAACCTTTAACACATTATAGGTTAGTACTCTTACTATTTTTAGGGATGAAAACACTTAATTTAGGTCTGTTTTACAAAGAGAAATTAAGGGTGACCCGGATTTACATCTGGTTGCGCAAATCAGCTGATTCTACGGATTGTTCTACCGGTACAGATCGGGTAGTGAAAATGATAACAGTAAAGAACATTGATTTTTGAAAAAGTCCTTTGAGTGTGTGCAAGTGTGTGTGTACACTGCTGGTTTTACAATTTTTATAAATTTCTTTTGATAATGTAGACAAATTTCAAGCTATGAGTTTTGTCCATTGAATACTGTGATAAGCTCTAGTCTGCCTCAGAGCTGAAATTGAATGAGTCATTTAGTATAAATTTAGCAATGTACGCCTGGTAATTGGTTACTAAAGTTTATAACCCATCAGTCTGCATCAAGTAAAGGACTTATAGAACCTAGCTCTGTCAGGGTTGGTGGATGTTGTATTGGCCCAAATGCACTAGAAGAGATTCAGAGCTCATTACTTGAAAAATGTAATGAAGAAGAAGAAATACAAAATCTATAGTCCAGAACCAATCGACAAGAAAATCCAAAAACTAAAAAACCAGAAGACACTGAGGAGGAATAAACCTATAGAATCCAGGAATGAGGAACTGAACAGGAGGTGTATATATGGTAGATAGAAGCAATTAGAGGACTGATTAGCTAATGGGGAACAGGTTTGGATAGAGTAAATAGAAGGACCTAAGGGGAAAGGAAAGGACACTAAGGGGCAGCAAAACTAAGAATACAAAAAGTTATATCTGTGAAGTTTCTCAGTCATCCAGGTCATGGAAAAGCTTGAAGGAGTTAAGTCTAGGCAACTGGAAGTGAAGATTTCTGGAAGACGTTTCTCCTCTCATCCAAAAGGCTTCTTCAGTCCAACTAGTGGTGAGATTAATATACTGTAGGTCTAACAAAGAATTAGGAGGAACAAAAAATGATTTACATCTAGAGAAAAATAAGAACAAAATAAAGCATATTTGAGAACTCAA